GGATCCGAAATCCCCAGGCTACTCTAGAGCACGTTAGTGGTGTCATGAAGACTCCTTGTCTCTTTCCATCTCTGTCCAGAGCAGGCTTGGGTGGAACGGAGCCTGATGGGGAAGGGCCTCTGTTTTTCCCAACTGAGAGGGGCTGAGGGAAGAATGAGCATAAAAGATTACCATTCCTCTTTAATCAGCTGATGCCCCAGATGACAGTCTGGCTTGGTCTGGCTCCTCATTTACGTTCTGAATTTTGGTTCTATGCCATTATCACAGGGGATGTGCATTTCTTTCATAGCTGCTGCGTGACAGGAATAGACTGTTGGAGAACAGCAGCACTCCAGGAATGTCAGGCTTACCCTCAGAAGGACACACACACAGTTGTTTTGTTTGATATGCAGCCTGTTAATTTTTTTTTATCGTGGAAACTTGTGATTATTGTAATAAATGACACATAACAATGCAAAAATATCTTCTATTACAAAAAAAGTTAACCTTCTTAACAAAACTAGCATTCCATTGGTTTTCTGATCACAATAAATTTGTCATAGAAGCTAGAGATGAATAAGAAGTATTTTATCTTCCAGAACCTTAAATGAATGATTTGTTACACTCAGCTTATTCACTAATGTGAATTTTCATATTTTGTGGCTCTGTTTACTTCTATTGAAAATGAAGTTGGATGCATAGTAATGTAAGACTGAGCCCTCCTGGGTGCATGTTAGATTATACACATCATTTAGCTAAATGTAAATGATATGGTGAGTGCTTCCCAAGTAAATAATTTCCATGACTTATCAGATGCAGCCATCAGATGATTCTAAAAACGCTCATCATGCTGTCAATGGTATTTTTCCTATATTGGCTGTTTGGGTGCCAAGTTACAGTCAAGAATGAAGTTCCTCAGGGATTTCATGGTCCTCTGCATCAGAGAGGAGTTACCAAGTGATTTTGAACATCACTGGTAATTCTCCCTAAACTGGAACTGGAACTAGGCCAAAGAGAAGTAAAACTGCAGTCAGTTCTGATGACTGATTAAGATAATCTTGGAAAGCTTTTCTGTTCGATGTTTCTTGCCACTGATTTATTGTTTCGAAGTGTGACATCCTGTGTTTAGCTTCCTGTTTTCTCCTTCTGTGTTATGACGCATAGTTGATACGTCAGTTATATTGGCCACAGTTATCAGTGTGAAGCCTTAAAAATATTCCCTTTCACTGCTAGGTCCAAGGCAAAAATTATTTTCAAACATAAACAATCACCAGACATATTCAGAATTCCAGAGTCGCAGCACCCTTGGCGTGGTTTTGTTGAAGACACCCTACATACTGTTTGAAACAATCCCAGCTCCCTCAGCCATTACAGGTCACATTTTCCTGGCTTTAACCATCTTTGTGATTTTTTCCTCGAGCTCTCCTAACATGGTATACCTCATCTAGCTTTAAATGACAGGGTGCCTTGGAAAGGGTCTGGCCTGTGAAGAAGGGAAGCAGAGAATAATTTGTGGGGCAAAACCTGAAAACCGGCTTTTTCAGCTTTCAAATATAATCTGGCGGGGTGATGTCCCTGGGACTAGTTTGGCAACCCAGTGGATTCATTCAGAAAATAGAAGGCTGCTTCGCCTTTCCCTGAAGATACCCGATTTTGATGTACTTGTTTATTTTCTCATAAAAATCTTTCCTTTATTACGAAAGAAGAGCAGCACCTGCTGCTGCTGGATGATGAGACTAATTCACATCGATTTTACTAGCAAACAAATGCGTTGCTATGGGACAAAAGAGCCTAAAACTCCCACAAAATATACAGTCAAACAAAAATATTCCTCAGAGAAAAAGGTCATGCTAGTATTACGTACAAATTCTTATTTCTGGATACTTTATTATTGAAGATGTTTTCTGATCAGGGCATATAATTTCAGTGCCTTTGAAGGCCTCATGCCTCTTCGAACCACAGCTCTCTCTATGAATTATGAGTTGAAGAATTAATTCCATTTCACTCTCCAGCAAAAAATAACTCCTTAAGATTCATGTTGGAAGTCATCTGTGGAGAATTCTTGCAAAATAGTTGGTGTTTACTTTTTGCTAAAATTAAATTAATTAGCCTACCAGATGAGAGTCGCTCTAATGTTTCCTTTATTTCTTATTTAAAAAAAATGACATTTTTCAAAATTGAAATGGAGATTACAATGGCTAGACAATGCTGGCAATGGTATCTTGAAAACTGAAGGTCCTTATTTTTCCGCTGTCGCTGGTCTTCTGTCTGGTTAAAAGGAATGACACCCCTACCCTGACCCTTACCCAACAGACACACACAAATGAAAAAGCATTTGAAAGACAAATAAGGATGGTTAGTTTCCATTTACTCAGAACTTTTTTTCCCCCTGAAATCTCACCTATGGTTTTCACTAATGATAATTATATATATGATATATATTGTAGCATTTACTGTATCTCACTGTTTTGAGCACTTTTGTAAGTTCACTCGTTTGGTCCGTGTAACGCTTAGAGGGAGGCACTGCTGCTTACCTCACTTTACAGATGAGGAAACCGAAGTGAAGCCACACAGTTGAAAAGTGGCCGAGCCAGGACTTGAGCTCACGCGCTGTGACTGCCCCATGGCCCTGTGCCCCGCTGTCTCTCTCAAGGCGCTCTGCTCACCAATCAAGAGAAACCCACCTGGCTTCTTTTTCGTTGAACTCTGAATGGGCAGCATTTAACACCCTCACCTGTCCTCTTCTTGAAACTTTATCTTCCTTTGCATTTATGACAATTATTTATCAAAGTGCTGCTCTGTGTCAGGTGCTGTTCTAGGCACTGGGGATATTTCAGTGAATCAAAATCAGATGAAACTTATTGTGTGGAGCTTAACATTTTAATGGAGAGAGACAGATAATGATAGTCAATGAAAAATAAACATACAGTAGATTACATAGTATGTTGGAAGATGATAAGTGCTGTGGGAAAATATACATAAATAGGTATAAAGAGAGAAGGAAGGAGAGAATTTGGGAGGATTTACCTCCTGGGGCAGGAGTACAAACTAAATTGTGTGGTTAAGTGAGGCCCTTTTAAGAAAGGAATATTTGAGCATGGAGTGAAAGGAGATGTGGATGGGCAATGAGGATATCTAGGGGAAGAGCATTCCAGGAAGAGGGAACAGGCAGTACGAGGGCTGGGAGTGGGCTCTGCCTGGCATGGTCTAGGGAGAGCAGGGAGGTCAGGGAGGCTGGAGAGGGATGAAGGAGAGAGGAGGAGGAGGACACGAGCCCCAAGTGGTGTGGAGAGGGCGAACAGGACCTTACAGGCTGGTCTGGGGATCTGGCTTTTCCTCTGGGAGAAATGGAGACCCTTTTGAGAATTTTGAGCAGCAGGGTGACCTGATCTGGATGTATGGTTTTATAGGCTTACTCTGGCTCTAGAAGAGGCAACTGTGGGGAAACAGGAGGCTATTGTTATAATCCAGGTGAAAGACAGAAACAGAGGTGCCTTGGACAGAGGTAGCAAGGGAGTGGTAAGAATTGGATGTGTTTTGAAGGTAGAGCCAACATGATTTGGTTGAAGGTAGGGTTGAGAGAACGAGGAGAATCAAGGATGACCTCAAGGCTTTCAGTCTCATCAGCTCGAACAGTTACTGTTAACTGAGATAGGAGAGACTGTGGGTGAAGCAGGGAAGATCAGGAGCTCAGTTTGAACCTAGAACAAAAATGTATGTCAATAAAAACATGTTAAATATAATATTAAAAATTAAGGCCCACCTAAATGTCCAACAATAAGGAATTAGATTAACAAACTATGTCTCCATACCATGAAATACTATGGCAACATAAAAATATGTTGCACGTCTATGTATTATTTATTGATATGACACATTAACTGTAAAGAAGCTGGTTATCACATAGTATTCATGGTATAACTCATGTTTTGCATAGGAAAAATAAATACTTAATAAAATTATAGTAGTAGTAGTTTGGGGAGATTTAATTTTTTTATATCTATTTTAAAAAGTTTTTGTAATAAATTTTTGTGAATTAAAAAGGAAAATATATATTCTGATCACACTTTAGTAAAATTTATATAATATAATCTGAAAACTATATGCATAGAAAAAGACTCAAAGGATATACAGCACAAGATTAAATGTATTTTATATAAATAACAGGGGTCATGAATGATTTTAATTTTTTTTCTAGACTCTTTATATTTTCTAACTTTTAACAATGACAGGTATCTCCAGGGGAATGTAAAAATATGTATATAAATTAAAAGGAAAACTTTGCACACGGTCAGCTAATAAACTTGCCCTGTAAAGTATTGTATCTTCTTCTTATGGACTGTTTCGGGACTATGAGACTGTGTATAGGACCACTGTACAGTAAGATGAAAGGGAGACGTTCTTTCGCATATTTTGGGAAATTACCGAGGTACCACGGGTATCCCACTGTAATTTTTCAACGACCAGCCTTCCTTCTGCTATGAAAGCACAGTGAGAATCAGGAGGGGTCAGTAGAGAAAAACTTGGAAGGTCCATTGACCCCTTTATTCCCATTCAAATAACCTTTAACTGTCTTTCAGATGATTCTTACATAAGGAATTTAAAAATTACATCCATTTATTAAAACGTTTTACACTCTATAAAATGTTAAGATCCATATCATTTTTTAAGAAGTCATCCATTTCTCCATTGTTGTTGGAGATGATTACTCTTTCTTTGATACCTCAAATTTCAACTTTTGATATACTTTATTACTTCTGAAGCTTAAAGTATATGAAAATTTAAATGCTTCTAAGTTCAAACTCAACACTCTTTAGTGATTTTTTTTTAAATACAAGTCATTCTAGGCAGAGAGACTTAAAAGAAAACTTTACAACAGTTTTGTGGTATCCATTTTCAAATGCCAGTAGACAGTACTATATTTCAAAATGTAATATCAGATTCTAAGAAAGTGATACAGATAGGAGCTGGTTGCCAAGATGAAAAGATTGATTGATGTGATTTTATTTTGTCATTTCAAGGGAGTGAAAAAAATAGACCCCACGTTCTATGAAAAATTTATCAGTCACAGATTTGGAGAAGAAGTGGTACGTCGCATAGATCTTTGCTCCATGCTGAAGAAAAAACAAAGTAATGGTTATTATCACTGTGAGTCTTCAATTGCGATTGGTGAGTGCCATTTAAAAACTGTTTATTATCTTTAGTTTTGATTTCTTTAGCATCATTCTGTTGTGGCAAACATCTTTGTTTTATGTTTTTCTCAATGGCATTTTCCTAAATATGATGGTTTGACAGTAATACATTAAAAATTATGTAGAACATATTTAGTATTCATATCTATCAATCAAGATTTTAGTACCTATAGTTTTTATACTTTTGTACTTTAAATTTAATTGTAATGAAGTCTTGAAATGTTGATTCAGAATTCATTTCAGTATAATTTTATTTTGTGAATATGAAGAAAGCATCTTCTCCAAGGAAGGCCTGCATGACCACAGCATTGCATTCTAGGCATAGTCATGTTTGCTGCTTTTAGTTAGGAATAGAATGTGCCAGGCCAGACAGTTTCACTCTGAGAAGAAAAAGCATAGATGACCTGCAAAGATCGAAAACTTGTCCGTCAGTTCTTTCCCTAAGAGAAACGTGTTTCAAGAGGAAACAAAGATTCGTACATAAAGAAGCTCTATCATCTCATCAGGGAGATGGCATGTGATGAGACAGATTTATACACAGTTATGTTTCCAAGTGCAAAGTGTGTACACCAGATGAAGAATTTTTAAAACAGAACAGAGGTATTTCTCATCGTTTGCAATGTGAATGTATTTCAAAGGAGCCTGATCTGTTGTGATTCAAATTTACTATTTCAAACCAGACGGTATCCTTTTAAAATTGTGAATTTCAAGACAACTGATTTGTATACTTTTGAAGTAACATGAAAATATTCAAAGAAGATAAATATATGTCTCTAAATATTTCAAGGTCTTCACCAAGGTAATTTCTCTCCATGTCGGCTTGAAGAAAACCTGTGGAAATATCTATTCTGAAAGAATCTTAATGCTGAAGTTTATTAAAGCATTTTTAAAATGTTCAAGAGACACAATTTTATTGCTCAGTTCTCACCAGAGATCTTCAGAGAAGTCATCACTTTACCTTCCAGAGATCTTAGCTCTCTTAAACAGAAGACATTCAGTATGTCATTTGAAGTTTACATTCTCAAAACATTTCAAGTATATTTTAAGGAATATTTTCATGTTTTTGGAATCTCTGTAAGAGAGCTGTCTTCCATCAAAATTTTGATGAGGACCAAACATTTCTGTCTAGATTCCTTGTAAAAGGCAAATTTAAATCCTTCTGTGTAATACAGATTCTGGCTAGCTTTCCATATCTTCTCTGTAATTACTTTAGGCTAACCTTGAAGGAGAACTCAGTGTTTCATTATCTCTCCCACTCCCATTTAGGAAAAAAAAAGCAGTACGTAGATTTTACTGGAGGTCTTGTGGGGCTGCATTAAGCAGCTCACAGCACGTATCACCTCCATTGCTGTTAGACAGCTCTGTTCAGCTCCCCCCAAATCACCATGTTCCACCCACTGAATTTTCTTTTATTGCTCTTTTCCAGCTTAGTTTCTAAAATTCTCCTTATTCTGAGTAATTTCTCTAGATCTTTCCCTCAGACTTCTTTGTCTTCACCCTTTTCTAATTCAAAGTAGTGTAGCTTCTTTCAAACTTCACCAATCTTGTATCCCCATTTAACATTATTTACAAAACAGTTTTTGCCTATTACACGTGCTCTGTTTTCTTCTGTCACATTTTGTGATGCCAGTATGAACTTTAAAATAATATCTGCCTCTAAAATGATAATTATTATGTAATAATTAACCAATTTTAATACACACTAGAGTCTTGTATTTGCTATGGATAATTACTGATTTTCTTGATCTTACTGAGTTTTGCAACAGAATATTTAGCAGGATTCAGGACTCTTTATGAATTTCATTGCTTAATCAGATTTAATTGGCTTACATTGGTTTGGCTTCTCTTTAATTTGATCCTAACTCAAATTTAATATCTGTTTTTTGAATCTTGAACATTGTGTGATGTGCATTAATAGAGTGGGATGGATTTCAGATCTTAAGATACTTTGTATTCAGAGTTCATGAGTAGAAGTTGGTCTTCAAGGACTCTGGGAACCTCCTGAAATTAATTGTAAAACTTTGTATGTAGGTACGTATGTGAATTTTTCTGGGGAGGGAATTTATTAGATTTATATATTCCATCTCTCTTAATTTATTAATGATGCATTCTTGGAGAGTGCTGGATTCCAAATCACCAATTTTCTTTTCCGCTGTCTCAATTATACCATTTAGGACATTTTTTTTTTTTAATACCAATGACTGTATGCTTCATTTCCAAGATTCCCAATTGATTTCTTTTTCATATTTTCCTATTCTGTTCTTTGCTTCATGGATGCTATTCCTTCATTTGTCTCTTTGAGGATTTCAATATAATTAATTTTTAAAGTTCTTTTCATATTTTGAAAATCTGTTTCCTTGGATATGAATTCTTCTATTTGTTGAGTCTTTTGTGGCATTTTATTTCCTCTAAAGCATTTGAAGTTTTTTTGAGGGCTCGTTTTATTGTGCATGTTTCCTCATCATAACCCCATGTGTGGTTTTGCAGATTTCTTAGCCCTAGTCCAACAGAGTAGATTGCTTTATGTTAAGTTAGGAACTGACACCTAACCATCCTTGTCCTTAAGGAGTTGGAGTTCATTCTTGTGTCTTTTACCAATTTTTGAGGGTTTTTTTGTGTGTGTATAAAGATAATTAGCCCTTTGTCGTACTGGCTTCAAATATTTTTCTGGTTTATTTTGCATTTAGTTTTGGTAACAAGGTATTCTTCATATTATATGTTTTTAATTTTTGTAAAAATATAATAAATTTTTGTGATTTCTTTAATTATTATGACTAGAGTGGTCTACAACCCAATGATTTGATACATTTTCTTTCATATTTTCTTCTTTTTTTTTGTTTTTGTTTTTGCATTTGAGCTTTTCATCTACCTGGTACGATCATTAATTCAGTACTCAGATGCAGAGGATTAACATAGAAATCTAGTTACTAAAAGTGGGTATGAAATAGAGATTTAGTTTTAGGAAATTTGTTTAGAATATTTTTTCCATCCCCCTCAACCTTCCCATGTGTTCTAAAGATCACACATTAGCAGCCCTTCATGTTGTGCTTGACTAGCACAGGGCTTTTTGATTTGTTTTTATAATTTTAATTACTTGCCAACTTTGGAGTGATTTAATGTAAAAAAAACCGTGGGTTTCTGCTGCCTTTGAACAATCAGAAACATGGCCACACTCGTTCCACTGTCTTGCGTGCAGTGAGCTGCTGGGTGGGGATAGTAGGCAGTAGAAAAGCAGCTGCCTTTCACCGCTCCCTTTACTCTTTTACTCTTCTTTTGCAATGGGCTTAACTCACTCACACTCCCTGCTTGGTTCCTGAAGGTATCTGAGTTTGGATCCCTTGCCAGAGGTCACTGTTTCCCGAGCCTTCTTATTTCCGTTTACATGCTAAGCATTTTCCTATCCATCTTCTGCCGTCTTGCACCTTTCTGTGGGGTTGGGGAGCTTGATAGGATGTGGAGGCAGCAGTCATATGTTCAGATCCAAGAAAAAGGTGCTGCATTTTAAGTCTCTTGTAATCAAAACTTTGGTTGATATTATGCTTCCTTAATATTGGGCTATAACTTCTTACAAGCCTAACTGCATTAATCAGCTAAAATTCAAATTTAAAAAAAAAGTGATAAACCAGTTCCTCCTGGCGAATCCAGGAATGAAATATAGCTTGGATATCTAGGGTGGTGAAAGCCATTCTCTGTGAGCTGCTCACTGGAGTTGGGAGAATTAATTTTTCTCAGGCAGCTCTGTTCCATTTATATTTCCTTAGGGAAGGTAATTGACTAAATGACACCCTTTGTAAGACTGGTGAGCAATTTAGTGCTTGCAAAGACTAGTTTACTTTCAGCTCTCAGACATCTCTTATAGAAGGCAGTGGGGAATTTGGAAAGGTCTAGAGGGTTGTTTTTGTTTTTGTTTTTGTTTTTTGCAGCCCAGTGTACTACTTTCTCACTTTTTCAAGCAGAGGTAAAAATACGGTTTTCTGGGAACCCCAGCTGTTTTCTGGCTTAATAACAATTATTCACAATTAATTTAATGAATGTTATTGAGCATGTACAACGTGTATACTCCTTTTGGGTATCACGAGATACAGAGAAGTGTAAGACATAGCCCTTAAGACTGATACAGAGTCGCTGGGGAGCTAAGTCTACATCTGAGAAATGGGGAGGACGAGGAGCGGGTGAAAAGGGCTTTGTCCATAACAACAGTGGGCTTTGATAGGACACAGTGGAAGAAGCTTGTGACTCTAGCTTCTAGGATGTGGGGATGAGGAGTAAATAGGACGAGACAGATAGTGGAGAAAGGACAGTGTCTGGGAACAGCAGGTATGATTTGCAGTGGGAGAGCAGCAGTGTATTGGGAGTCAGGGTGGAGGGAAGATTAGTGATAGTATTAAGTGATAGGAATAATAGTGATAATGTTAGTGATAGGAGGCACCTGGATTGAGTCTATGGTCTGGTTATCTGAGGAAGCTACGAGGGTGTGGGGGCTCTGTGTGTTTACAGAGTTGGTGAGGGAGGTTGGAAAGGAGATGGTCACAGCACACACAGATGAGTCAGTGAATATGCTGTGAAGGAGACTGAGCAGCTAGATGTGGGATAAAAAGAGGGTGATGTTTAATACTCAACACAGATGACACAGGATTGGGTCCTAAAGATAGACCTTCAATTAGTTCCAGACTGAAGTAATGAAAGGGTTCGGGCTGGGCCAGCTGTGGGCTGAAATAAATGCAAACAGGCCTGTGTAGATACGGTGATGGAAAAGAAGGGTTGTAGTAAGTTAGAGTCGTCAGAGCTATAGTCACCAGCCTGTACCCAGTGCCAGACAGGGCAGACCAACCAGATACCAGACTCAGACTCTATGGGCTGAAGCATTATGGAGAATTCTGAGTGAGCTGAGTCAATGAATTTCTTCTATCCAGATGTGCCCCTGCTGTTTGAGAGTCACTCTAAGGAGACTTGAACAGCTCAGACCAATCCTGTCAGTCTTAAAAGGCTTGTCGTGGTCCATCCGGTGACTCCCAGTGGTCCTTTGTAGGTGGTGATTCAGCCAAAAGCAAAGCAAAGGACTTTTGGGGGTTGCATCTAAGAAGACTCTCAGATTTGGCTTTGGTGTCCTGATCTTCTGTGCTCCTTTACCCTTAGGAGCCCGGGCAGAACTCCAGAAGCTCTGACTCTTGCCCGGTTTGGTATGTAAGCCTGGGCGTTTTCTCTATAGAAGATAATGCTGTCAGTGTAATTGACCCATTGGTTGTTGGGGCAGGAGAGGGTGGAGGGAAAAGGAAATCTGTAGTTTCCTTACTTGGGTAAAAGGTGTGGTTAGGACAAAAAGTTTTGAGCTTTTGAGCATCCTTAAATCTGGGCTTTTGTCAGATCAATGATAAGTAATAAATATCTAAAATATTTCATTTGAAAATGTTTGTATTGCTTAAATGCCATGTGCCCACTTAAAGGTCTTCTTAGTAGATTGGGGTATTGGTAACAGATATGTGCTTAAATGTCTGCTTTTCTCATGTGAATCATTTACTTTTTGCTGTGAAAATATGCTTCATTGTGCTTATCTTATGAATGATTTAATAGTCTAATAATTATTAGGCTACACTTTTGTTGGGTTTTTAAACTTTTTAAAAATGACTTTAGTTCAGTAGTTCTACAGGTTTGATCCCTGGACCCCTGGCAGTCCCTGAGACACTTTTAGGGCCTGTGATGGCAAAACTATTTTTTTATAATAATACTAAGATACCATTTGCCTTTTCCTCTGGGTTAACATTTACACTGATGATGCAAAAGCAATTGTGGGTAAAACTGTGGGTGGCCAGTGTGAGTCGAGGCAATTGCAGTTAAAAAATGTTTTTAAAAGCCAGTTTCACATAAGAATGTTCTTGCTGAGTAGTAAAAATTGTTAATTGTATTTAATCTCAACCTTTGAGAATGTGCCTGCTTAATATTCGTGTAACAAAAATGGGAGGTGCTCACAAAGCACCTCTGCATGTTGAAGTAGGAGGCTGACTTAAGGAAAAGCGCTGTATGGTTGGTTAAGCTGTGAGCTAAAGTAGACACTTTCGTGGAACACCATTTTCTCTTGAAAAATGATCCACAGACAAACTATCATTTTCATACTTGGGCATTTGGCAGACATTTTCTTGAAAATCAATGCACCTGTCACATCAAGGACAACTGACATGATTTACTGCTAGTGATAAAATTCAAGCTTTCAGGCAATGATAAGAATTTTAGAAAACTGTGGTCTATTACCATGAGTTGACAGATTCCTAAACTTAAAGACTTTGCCCCACTTTATACTATGGAAAATTTTATACACAAAAGTAGGGACCACAGAGTGGAATATTGAACTCCCTTTTCCCAGTTTGTTTTTATCACACTATCTGTCTTTACTTTATTGAGGTATAACTTACATGCAAAACCTGTACCTATTTAAAGTGTACAGCTTGATGAGTTTTTAGCATGTCTACACCTGTGAAACCATTACCATCACCAAGATACTGAACATTTTCTTCACTCCCAAAAGTTTATTTGTTCCCCTTTGCAGTCCATACTTAAAGACTTTTCTAACGAGGTGAGTGATAATGAATTTTGATGTTGTATAATGAAATGCATCAAATACGGGATGTTTGCATAACTCACTGAGTCAGTATTTTTAAGATGACCAATGCATGTTTGTTACAAAGATATGCGTGTATAAGAGAGCCATTATAAGTTCAAGATAGACCAAAAGATTTAACTGTAAAGAGCATGAAAAGTTCATTGATACGTTTTTGAGATTCCACGTTGCAGCTGAACTTTAAGAATCTACAACTTGTCACGTTTTGATATAATATCAAAGAAGAATGTCCACAGTTATCTGGAAAGGCTATTATCCTTCTCCCTTTTCCAACTATATTTCTGTCTGAGGCTGGATTTTTCTTACACTTCAAATGAAATAGTATTGCAACAGACTGAATGCAGAATCAGATATGAGGATAAAGCTGTCTGAGGAAGCCAGACATTAAAGAAATTGCAAGAATGTAAAATAATGCCATTCATCTCACTATAAATTTTTAAATTAAAAATACACTTTTTTTATGAAACTTTTTTAGGATAACATACAGTGGTTTATTATTGATATTTTGAAGTGAATGAATAAATACATTTTTTTAAAATTCTGTTTTAATTTCTCATGTGATAAATATTGACTATATAATGCAAATAAACAAAAGCCTTTGGTAGGGGGAGATTATAAATAAGTTTTAAGAGTGTAAAGGAGTCCTGAGGCCAAAACATTTAAGAACTCCCGCTTTAGTTCATGGGTCCAATAAAACTAAGAAAAAATGTAATCCTCAGACTGCTTTCCAAACTTAATTTTGATCAATAGTTCCACCTTTTGTTTGAACAAATGAATTTTGATGGCTACTTAATTATCTCTCTGTAAAATGTTAACTTGTTTGATTCCTCTGTCCTTAATTTTTCTTGTCCACCCCTTTTAAATGTCTGTTTAAGCATTCTGTGGTAAAACTGTTACCAAGTACAAAAATACCCAAGACTGACAATAGCGTATCTATATGAAATGATGCATTTAAAAATCAGTATTATGTGAAATTTTTATTCTACAATTTAGGAATGTCTCTTTTGTGGTGGGCAGGACCAAAAAAATTTGTCTTGTTTTCCTTTGCACAGGCTGACAGGGAGAGGACTTAAGGAAATTTCACCTCTACTTAGACCAATTAAAATGAATCTATTTCAAGCATGTTAGAAGAGGGAAAAGTGAAGACACAGTTTATCTAAGGGATCTGTACATTTTTATTCCACTGGAAAACTTTAGCAGTTGGAAATCTTCTTTGTGCAAAATTATCAAGTAATTTAATAAGTGCTGAGTAAAACCATTATTTAATTATTTACTTTGAGACACAGAAATTGAGGGACCATATAGTTTACAATCCAAATGGTACACCTGTAAGTGTAGGATAAAAGCTGGGATAAAAGGAATCCAAGAGTATCGCAGTTTATCTAGCACTTACATCATCTTACCTAGAAAGCATAATGTTCTTTAAAAGCAGAACCTTTGACGAGGTAAAATATTATATTTCAAATGCCAATCTTGTTCCTTTTTGTAATCTAATTGTGCTCTTACATGTTTTCTTGATGAAACCTGTCTTCTACAAAGAAAGTGTTTGAAATATCATTGTTATGCCCCTAATAAAAATGAAAAGCAACTGATAGTTTTTGAAACTCTCAGCTTATTTCTTTAGATCTGCTTGAGTCAGAGAAAATTTCAGGATACATAACTGAGGAAATTAATCTTAGTGATGGCTCACTGTATTTTAACTGGTGTATCAGCTATTAATCTGATGCTAACACAAAGTGGCAGCTGTGGCTCAGGCTATTTTGAAAATCCAACCATCTGTTGGCCTGATTTCAAACCTTATGATTTATATCAGATGCCTTGGGAACCTTACGTACTAAAGGGGCAGTGCTATGTGGTGCTATCTGACAAATTTAGCATCACTGTTAGAGTGATACGGTGATAGTTTGTAGTTTTATGGTTTATGTTTAAAGCCTTTGATTTAAGTGTATTTAACACTTAAACCATAAAGTATATATTGAAACCATAAAGTATATATTGATTTCCAAATAAAAAGAAAAATAAGTGAATGAAATGACTGAAGGGCAGAGTCTGTGGTCAAAAGAAGCCATTCAGATAAAGGAAATTAGTGTTAGGAGACCTTCCAGTTGCCAAAAGTTATGGCTCACTTGCCCATCACATTGCCTAGTTGCCTCTAATATATTTTTCCACTAAAATAATTAATGTTTATTAATGTTTTGAAAGTACTTAGCACAGTACCTGAAATATAATGTTATAAAACTGTTAGTTATTAAGATTAATAACCAGTACTAGTTATACAAGAACGCTTATTGCAACAGCACTTTCCTAACATCAGAAACCCATTTCAGGTTATTATAGATTTGGAGGGAGGGTACAGCTCAGTGGTAGAGTGCATGCCTAGCATGCCTGAGGTCCTGGGTTCAATTCCCAATACCTCTACTAAATAAATAAACCTAATTACCTCCCTCCATAAAAGTTATTATAGATTTGCATTGTTCTTAATGCTTTCCATAAAAATTGACATGGGACTAACATTGGTGCATTTCAAAAATAAAAGTGCATATATATATAAATATGCTTTATGTAATATATTGCATATATATATTTATATATAATTTATGTATATAAATACAATAGTAAAGATAAAAATTGACTTAATTCTTTTTGGGGGCTGTGGAAAAAACAAAGTAGGCAAATCTATTCTATTTAACATAGTGTTATTTAAAAAAATTAATTGGATAATGTGAACTCACAAGTGATAGACATGTGAAACTCAAATTCTTCTCCATTTTCAGTGAAGCACAGAAGAACTGGAAAGGATGCAGAATACTGGGGAGAGAGCACACACTGTAGAGAGAGAAGCATAGTGACTTAGAAGTTCCTAGATTCAGACAGATCATATTCTAATGGTCACTGCCACTTCCCAGCTAGGCAGCCTTGTGCCTGTTACTTAATAACCCTAAACTCATCTGTAAGATGGGACTAATAGTGATGCTTACCTCATGAGGATGTTGTGAGGACTGAATGAGACAGTGATGAAAAGCACTTAGCGTCAAGTCTGACACTATCTCAGTGTTCTTTATAGTGCCCATTATTACTGCTGTTTTTATTGCAAATTGTATGTAGAATTCTTAAATCTAGGACAGAAAAGGTTTAAGAGTGACTCTTTAAGGAAGGGTTAATTTAAAAGGAAAAAAAACAGTCAGCCTCTTTTTAGTCTTTACAAGGAGTGCACCCTTCTAGGAATTAGGAAAAACTTTGGGCTCTAAAAGATTGTTAAATCCTGGAACAAGGTGTTAAGGGATTTGTAAAATATCTTTACTGAACTTCTTTTAAGATGGAAGAGAGGGTACCATTTATGAGGGCATCTAAGCTGGAGATCTGAGTGACTCGTGAAGTTTCTTCCATCATTACAATTTGTAAGTTCTCTAATTTGTGTTAAATTGTTTAGACTTTGCCAAAGTTAGACTTTGATTATTATTGCATCTGATTGATTGGTAGAGAAGTCATGAATTTCTCATTGCTCTGCTCTGTCTGAAAACTCAGTTCCTCTGTATTCTTTTGTTCTATATCTAGTCTTAAAGTAGGAATTGGAAGGGGGAATATGATTGTAGTGAGTAAATGGCTCTGGGTTGTCCGCCTCTGGCCCAGTGAACCTGGGATTGATCATACCGCCTGAGCTATCAGGTCATCCGAGCTCCCTTGGGGCTTTAGGAGAGCTGCTGGCTGGGCACACAAGGACTCCTCTTTGATTTTAAAACTTCTTCAGTTCCTTTTGGGTTCTTGTAACTTATTTGTGTGGAATTAATTGATCAGGTATTTATTGAACATTCCAAGTGCCAGGCATATTGAAGATCAAAGATGGACCAATACGAACCCTACTCTCACAGACTTTGCTTTCTAGTGGGAGGCCATACAC